GGCTCTTGTTCTGTGTTGCTATATTCTGTTGGAACTATCCAGAGTCGTAGCATGGCGCTAGATGGGAGCATGGTTTACAAGTGAAACAAACAAATAAACAAAGGTTTTGGAGAACAGGTTTGAATCCCTGCCTGGCCAGGGAGTGGAACTGGCGAAGACACTTTTTCCAGGTCTCACTTACTTTGAAAGCGCTTTTGGAGTTCACTCAAAGTCGGTTTCAACTTCCCAGCATATCACGGACTCACTCACTAGAGGTGTTCTTTTGTAATCTGTTAGACAGATGGGTAAATAAATACAGTAAATAAATGGAAACCAAATGCAATAAACGTTTCAGAGATAGGAAGCAGAATACAAGTTAATAATGAGTTGATAATTTCTTTTCGCTACGTATTTGTTAACTATGAAAGGGTTGTTCACCAAACTCGTATGATGGCCTAAATTAATTCCTCAATACTAGGCAAGGGTCCTGCTGAGTGAGTTATAAAATGTATTACCAAAAGAACTTTGAAAAAAATACTTTGCTCCAGGGGAATAATTTCAAAGGCATTAGCCGTTAACAACCACCTTGGGATCAACGTATCTAGGCGGTTTATTTCTGAGTCTTAGTATTTTTTTTATCTTTGGAAGACATTTGTACCTCATAAAACGTAGTGCAGTAGCATATTAAATATTTTTTATCTTTTTTTCTGGTTTGATCTTTGGTGGACCGCAGCCCCATTTCTCATTGGTCGAGTACTCCCCCAGAAGGCAAATATTTACCCACATGTTCCAGGGGAAAAGATGTGATGATGATGATGATGATGGAGCAAGTTCAGAGGAGGGGAACAAGAATGCTCAGGGGGCTGGAAACAGAGACTTATTAGGAAAGGCTGAAAGAACTGAAGAAAAGAAGATTGAAGGGGAGAGAGGAGAGCACTTTTCAAATACTTGAAAGGGCTGTCCTACAGAGGAGAGGCAAAATCTGTTCTCCATCGCTGCCCCCTCGTGATCAACAGGCTTCCCCCCAGTTCACCACCCCTCCAGGGTGGTTCCAACACCCTATGGTGTCCCAAACAAGGTCAGAATTCGGCCCGGGGGACAGAGCTCTGTCCTCCTGCTGCTGTCTCGTCGCGACGTCAAGCTGGTTGCAGGTAGTGTCGTATCCTGAAGTACTGTCACAACATGTAGTCCTTACACTGTCTCTTCTCTCTGACCTTGGCTCACAGGTCAACCAAGAAAAGTCCACTTTGACGCCTACCCAGAACGTCACCTACATAGGAGGTGTCCTGGATGTGGTCTCAGGTCGTGTCTTCATTCCAGAGAGCCGCATCCTGAAAATACATCAGCTTCTTCCACACTTTACTCCAGGGGCGAAAGTCCAAGCTTTGTTGGTTCAGCGCCTGTTGGGCCTTACGGCCTCCACTACAGCTGTCATTCAACATGCCAGACTGAAGATGCAGGCTCTTCAAACATGGTATCAGGAGTCGTTCAATCCTTTTCTAGATCGGCCCTCCGAGACTCTTACTGTTTCGAGGGCATTGGCGCAGCAGCTCACCTGGTGGTGGCTCTGTTCGAATCTCTTTGTGGGCAGGCCCTTTGGCACTCTCCAGCCTTCGATCCAGCTCACCACGGACGCAAGCTTCACTGGTTGGGGTGTGCATGTCCTGGATTTGACAGCCAACGGTCACTGGGCTCCGGACAAGACTGGTCTTCACATCAGTGTTCTGGAGCTTCTTCCTGTCTTCAAGGCTCTTCGGGCATTTAAGCACCTCCTCACGGGGAAAATCGTGCAGGTAGCATCAGACAACAGCACGGTGGTGTATTATCTGAACAAACAGGGAGGTACACTCTCCTGGTGGCTTCTGTTTCTTACGACTCACATTTGGGAATGGTGTTACGATCGCCACATCTTCCTGATTGTAGTACACGTACGACTAACGTATTAAAAGCGCTTCATTCCCTTGGCGTCAAGAGGGCTTTAGCATGCTACATATCCTGGACGACGCCTCTTCGCTCGTCTCCGAGACTCTTTGTTTTGTTTCAAGATCACTCGAAAGGTTCCCCGGTTTCATCTCAAACCTTCTCTAGATGAGTTGTTGCTACGATCAAGCTTGCATACGAAATTGCTCACAAGTCTCTCCCTACCACCATTCGAGCCCACTCAACCAGGGCAATGGCTTCTTCCACATCATTCCTACGTGGGGTTGACCTTACTGATGTCTGCACAGCCACCATGTGGTCCACACCCTTCACCTTTCCCACCCACTATCGCCTTGATGTTCGGACTAAGGCGGAGGCTGCTGTTGGTAGAGCTGTACTGGCTTCTGTCTTGTCGTGACGCCTACCTCCGGGTAAGTCAGCTTGCTAGTCACCCATTAGTGTATATTCACAGAGGCCACGAAGGAGAAAAGAGGTTACTTACTGTAACTCTGGTTCTTCGAGTGGTCCTCTGTGAATTCACACATCCTGCCCTTCTCCCCGCTGTACGTCCCAACTATTTAAATGTATACTGTACAGCGGCGGACAGTTCTACGAAACTGACACACTCAGTGCCGGGGTGGTGATGTGACCTAGGTGGGAGATCCCTTGGCACATAGTGCTTAAAGCTATAGAAGCTTTCGAGGTGCTCTGCTGAGGCACAGACTAACCCATTAGTGTGAATTCACAGAAGACCACTTGAAGAAACAGTTACAGGTAAGTAATCTCTTTTGTTCCATGTGTTTATTTATCAGGAATAAAGTAAACAGCATTTTAAGACAGAAATGTACTCTCTCTGAACAGCTACCAGCATATTTTATTTCTTCTATGGATTTTGATTTTTGAAAGTTGCCAATTAAAATTAATTCTGATAATGAGCTGCATAGCACTGTGGGAAGCATTCTCTTTTCATTGTTGAAAACTTCTGTTTCAGCTTTGGCTTTAGTGATAAAGTTACACTGAATGGTCGCGTTCCAGTTGGGTTGTATGGAAATGGATTTAAATCAGGATCCATGCGTTTGGGAAAGGATGCCATTGTTTTCACCAAGAATGGAGAAATCATGAGTGTGGGCATGTTGTCTCAGACCTTCTTGGAAGCTACAAAGGCAGAGCATGTCATTGTACCTATAATATCATTCAACAAAAAACATATCCTTTTGGTGGTATTTCAAGCAAAAGAAATAGTCACCTGTGTGCTTCAAAGTGTGATATTGCTTGCTGTGATTATTCCTTCTCTTAATATTGTTTGCTGCATTAGGAGCAATAGCTGTGTACAGGTATTCCCAAAGATGTTTTTGTCTCTCCATCCATCTCCCCCACACACACACACACACTATATCGCTCAAATAAGTTCAGGGTAGAGATGGGCATGGGCTGCCAGTTCAGAGACATACAAGAGAGGGAAGCATCAGCTTGCTTTGGAAATTCTGGTGCTTGCAGAGATGTAAAAAAAACTCTTCAGAGAGGAAGACCTGAGACATAGCAATCCCACTGTAGTTTGAAAAGAACTTCACATGTAGAGTGACACAATGTACAGTAAGACCCCCTATCTACAGGATTAGTATTAGCCGATTCACTTATCCACAGCCTGAAAATACTAAATAAAACCCCTCAGAAATACATATTTATATGTATTTATGGAGTCTATTTACCAGAACATGTCACCAGAGGAAGCCAGATAACATGCAGTATATAGCATTTGATGATTTCATATTTTTGGCACCTGTAGGGGCTTGGAACCAATTCCCCCCCTCCCCCAATGCTGCAGTTCTACTCTGTTGGCATATATTTGTTGGGAGAGGAGGCAAAAAGGTCAGGGAGAGAAATGGAGTAGAGTCGCCTGGACGGAAATTTTGCTGGCTGGCTGAATACTAACAGAAATACAGTGGTACCTCGTTTAACCATGTTAATTGGTTCCCAAAAAAAATCGCTATGGGAAAACTTCGCTAAGCGAAACACGATTTCCCATAGGAATGCATTGAAAACCGGATAATCCGTTCTAATGGGAACGGATTACCATCCTTAAGCGAAAATTGCCATAGGAAACATCGCTAAGCGAAACAATGTTTCCCCCATTGGAATGCATTCCAATGGTTTTGACAGGTCCGTTTTCTCTATTTTTAAAGTGTCTTAAAATGTTTGAAACCTGTTTTAAATGCTTGGAATCATTACTGCACCTTGTAAGACCTTTGCAGAATTAATTTGGCTTTGTTCTGACTCTTCGTTAATTTTTGGTGAATTTTTCCCCCCATTGGAATGCATTGAATAGGTTTGATGGGCAGCTAAGAAATGGAAAGATAGCAGTGAAAATTCTGTTCATTTCAGGCTAGGATTCAGAAAAAGTTCTCCATTTCTCCCAACGTAGAAGCAAAACAGGAGCAAAAAGCATGGAAAACAGGTTAAAGTTAGTTACTTTAAAATAAATTTGTTGCATTTGATTGTGTTTTATGGGGGGAAAGAAAAACATTATAAACAGTAAATTATCAGAGGGAAAGATTTTAGGTAATTCATCTGTGGTGATATTAATCCCTCAGAAACCAGGAAATTTCTGTAGAATCTGCGGTAAGCCAAGAATTACCGTACTATACCATTCACTTTCCAGCTTCAGGAGCACAGTGGCCACATTACTGCAGATTTGAGATGCCTAAAATCGGTTTGCTTAAGGCTGTAAAATGGTGAGAAAGTATGGTTTTTAAAAGTGTGGTCACTTAGTAAGTAGTCATTAGTGTCTGCCCTCATTTCAGGACAGATTCCAGGGGTAAGTCCCCAGTGAGTTTAATATTGTCCTTAACCTAATTTACGGCAAATCATAAATCCAGATGAAATGGCACCCAGCTTGAAGGCCATCTTGGAACACTCTTTATTTCCTACTGAAGAAGAGCTGCTTGCAGAACTCGATGCCATTATAGGGAAGAAAGGGACAAGAATCATTATTTGGAACCTACGAAGGTGAGATAAAATTATAGTGCTTTAAATACAGGTTATGCTCTGCCACCTCTAAGGTTGCTTAAAACAAGTTGGGGCACTATATGCCTGGTATTGAAGTTGTCTTTTTATTATTTATTCACTTTAAAATTATATACTTCCTTTTCTTTACCCTATCTCTTTTCCATCCTATAGTATCATTCATCAAATTTGGCACAACTGGATGAGATTTTTTTTTCCTTGACAGTTTCCCTTATGATTTGTATTCTAGCTCCACCGGAAAAGATTTTTCCATATTTTTTCTTGAGAAAGGTATTAATGAGATTACTAATTGTAAATTTCTTGAGTATATGAAATCTTGTACTGTATATCGTGAGTCAAGATTGTTGGACCTGGTGTCTTCCATTTTGATCTGCTGTCTTCCATTTTCTTTGGCTATGCAAAACTCCTTCAGTGTTCTCTTTGTGCTAAGATAAATCAAGGATAGTCAGGCTGCTCTAATGAAGTTTTGGCAGGAAAGTCAAAATGGAGACAACACATGTGCTTAGCAAACCTCCCTAACAAGCTTGTTTATGCGTTTTCCTATAAACTCTGCAGACATTAGCTTATCATGGCAGGGATGTAGTGGTAGAGAATATTTCACATGTCAGTAATACTTATTAGAACAAAAGAGAGCAGTGATATATTATCCAGCTGCAAACTATAGATGTGAACAGCCAGAATGTAAGACAACTGCTTCATCCGCTCAGTGGTTGTTTGGACTTCTTGCAGTGACCAGGCCATATTTTTATCTGTTCCAGCTTATTATAAGTTATTCAGTAAACTTTCTCCTTATAAGCAAACCTGGAACTGACTTCTTGTTTCCTTGAGATTCTTCAAATTCCTATTGAGCCCAAAGCTGGGGCATGCAAGGGGGAATAATTATACATGAAAGCCACTTTGAGAGCAAGTCTTGGTTCAGAAGTGAAGCAAACTTTAGAGTTGCTTGAAGAATTAATTTACAAATTCTGGGGCAGTCTGATCTTATCCACGCTGCCAGGGCTAATGTGGGAACTGGAGCACACATTGAGATTGTTTTCACAGTCCTTTGTATTTTGTGTTGTAGTTTTTTGCTCAAACATTCCAAAATGTAGGATAAAATATAATTGGATTTTTTCCCCTGTAAAAATAAAATACGTTCAAAATATCCAGAACCTGGTTCATTTATGCAGTCATATCAGTAGAGTGGTACATGCATTTCTCTCATTCTGGCTGGTTCTGTTTAGCATAACTTGGACATGCACTTACTGTAAAATCACCAGTGTGATGAGTTGTGCAAATAAGAAGGTGCCAGAAGGAAAAAAAGAAATGCTGTGATTGCTCTTAAGCAAGTAGGGTTTTGGCCAAAACTTTTGAAAATAGATATTTAAATTCAAATTTTCATTAGAATTTGAAGGAAAAAAAATTATTCATTAATACAGAATTGTAATGAAAGTACATTTGAAAGTGACACAGACTGGAAATACCTGGTATCACCACACCATGATACATTCATAAGAAATGTTAATTGCCTGAAATTGAAATAAAAAAATAATCTTGCACTGATTTTGTAATGCAAAAATTGAGCATGTACTGAACTTTGCTCAGGTTTGCACAACAAATTCAATAAGTAAATCTGCACTTATTTCAATACTGGACAGTTGTATTTTTGGTGTATTTATATAGATATATTTAATAATAGATTAGAAGATGCTGATTACCAAGAACTGTGTATGCCGCATTTATGAGTACATAATTCTTACTGAAATCAAGTTTGTATTTATTGCATTCCACAGAGAGAAAAATCAACAGACAGAATTTGATTTTGATACAGATAAATATGATATTAGAATTCCCGCAGATTTAGATGAAGTAACAGGAAGGAGAGGCTACAAAAAACAAGAGAGGCAGGACCAGATTGTTCCTGAAAGTGACTATTCTTTACGGGTGTGTATTTCGTTTTGGTGTTTACTTTGCAGTGGTGCCATACTCCGCCATGTCTGTGTACAAAATCATGGTTATTGTGTACAAAATAATGTAAAAATCATGTGTACAGAATTGCATACAAAATCATATCTATTTACTGAAAACCAGTTACTACTTTTCTGCTGTTTGGAGGCTACCATCCACAGACCTTGGAAGGGGACAATTCATCTTCCTTCTGCTGATTCCCGTATATCCTCTATTCTTCTCTGGAGAGTTGAGGAGCCCTCCAGAGCTGATTAATGAAAAGTGTGATTGAGGGCTGGAGGGAAAAGAGGAAAAGAAGTTTCCATTGTAGCTGCTGATCTTCTTGTGCAATGTTAGATTCAACCCATTAATGTTTGTCAATTGAACATTTTGTAATTGAACTAAGCTTCCCTTTATTCTAAGATTTTTTCCCCTTTTCATGATCTTTGGGTATAAAATTATTATTTGCATTGGCCTCATGAAAAGGGTTATTGTTGACATTTGGTCTACCAGTATACTATGGGAGTAACCTTTATTTGCTGATTATATGAAGGATTGATATACATTTTAATAATATCAGAATAAGTATAGTACTTCTAGCACTTCCAGATTCAAATGCACATTTCTTCTTCATTCCTGACGTGTTTCTCATTCTACAAAGTGCCATGGCATTTTTATTTATCTTATCATTAATTATGTAACAGTTGTTCTGCGGTTTGGCTTCCCACCCTCTGCATTGGGCACCCACCGGAGGTTCATGCTCATCTCTAATTGTTATGTAGAGTAGTTTGATGGAGTTTTCAGAGCCACTGGAGTGACAGAGTCTCCCATGCCAAAATTTAACTGATTCATTTTTAATTGAAGTTAAATGTGCCTGCTGATGTTGAGTTGTGTCTCACACATGTAGAATTGTGTATTTTTGTGACCTAAGTGTAGCATAACTCATCATCTGAGTTCTGATATATAAATGATTCCAAACATGCATTTTATGAGCTTTAATATTGTGGATGGTTCAGTCCAAACAATTTAGATTTTATTTAGATTGTTCTCTCTGTGTGTGTAATAACCATAACCTTGTGCTTTACAGGCTTACTGCAGTATTTTGTATTTAAAACCAAGAATGCAAATTATTATAAGAGGACAAAAAGTGCAAACACAACTGGTTTCCAAGAGTCTTGCCTACATAGAACGTGATGTTTACAAACCAAAATTTTTGGCTGTATCCTTTGTCACTGTGGTCTGTTGGGGGGGTGAGTAAGAAAGGATGACCAGCAATAGCAAAAATCATCACCTGCTTGTTTTTCCCTCAGGTGATATCCAAGAATAATGCAGGATTCCAAAGCATAATTGGCAGAGAACTGTATCAAAATTTGGGAAAATATTCTTGCTAAAGCTTGATTATTAGTTTAGAGACTGAAAAATGCAAAATGTAACAGTGTTGTGTGTGTATATCTTTGTTCTCCAGAAAGAACTAATATTGGTGCAGCTTCATAACAGTCATACATCTTTAGTGTTCGCCATGTTGTACAACCTTCAACTTTAAATGTAGTGTTTCTTCTGCAAAAAAGCAAGGACTACCATTCAGATTTATCCCTTAAGAGTGTAATGGCATAAAAACCAGCCCAAGTCTGGGAATTTAGAGAAAGACTTCTAAACTAAAGGTTATAGAAAGAGAGATAAGAAGCAATAGACTTCTAGTGATTTAAGTTTGGTGACAAGTGTTATGGTTGTGGTAGCCAAGAAAGAAGACAGATTGATAAAAAGTTTCAGAAACCAGTTGTAGTCTGATTAAAAATTGCACATCTTTTTCAGTTATGGGTAAGTGAGCAAAATTAAAATCCTTGGGCTCATGAAACATTATTCAAAAAGAGATTTGTAGGACATGGGTTTATTGCTTCCTTCACATTTGGCTTAATTTGCTATTGTCCAAATATCTCCTTGAGTTACTAAATTTATGTAATCTGAATAAACCATGAATAATCTTGTGGACCTGCAGGGCTTTACTCTTTCTAAATAAGTATGCAGTAAATTAGAGAATTGAGTGGGCTACTCTAGTTGTGACTTACCGCTGGATTTCAAACAACATGTGTTTATTGTATTTGAACTGATTTGACGACTTAATAATGTCCCTCTCTTTCTTTCTGTCTCTCTGTCTCTGTCTCTCTCTCTCTCTCTCTCACACACACACACACACATAAATAATGACTGCTCCTGTACTTGCTCCTCTCCTCGTAAACTGTAATTGCGATGTTCAAGTTCTTCATAGTATTATCATAGGCTTTTGATTTTTCTGAGAAAATCCTAATCCTAACAGATGCAATATATTGTGCTTTTACAATTATTTACATTAAAAACTAAAACATTTTGACATCCTTATAGGCAGGCAGATCTGCTTGTTTAGAAAACTTAGTCTGAATGTTCTTTTCAACAAGAGTCGTATTAAAAATGTTCCCTAACATGCACAAATAAGCCCAAAACTGTACGAATAACCTTTGGATTCAACTGCCGAAATAAAGATCACTATGGAATGATGATGTACCACAGAAACAGACTAATCAAAGCTTATGAAAGAGTTGGCTATCAGCTAAAGGTGAGAATATGTCTTCTTTGCAAATATTCATGAAAATTAGTTAATTTTATACTAATCATGCAGTATCATTTATAGTATTCTTAATGTAAAGTCCTTGTACAGTGGTGACCCACTTGACGACGATAATCCGTTCTGTTAAAATTGCTGTTAAGCGATATCGTTGTCAAGCGAAAGAAAAAACCATTGAAATGCATTGAAAACCGGTTCAATGCGTTCTAATGGGCGAAATACCTCATCGTCCAGCGAAGATCCTCCATAGGGGAAGCCATTTTCGGTCACTGTCTTCCGGAAATAGGTCTGGAAAACAGCTGGCGGCCATTTGAAACCCAACGCTCAGCTGTTTTTGATCGTCATAATGCAAAGAATCTGTTCCCGAAGCGGAACCGATCGTCATAAAACGGATTTTCCCCATTCAATCATCGTTTTGCGATCACAATAGCGATCGCAAAAACCTCATCGTGAAGCGATTTTGTCATGGAGCGGGGTAATCGTCAAGCGGGGTACCACTGTATCTTGTACCTCCCTAACAAGATAGATTGATTTTAAAATGAGGTGATATTAAATCCACAATTTCTATCACTGGTTTAAAATTTCCCATCAAAACTTCATTTTGTTTCCTACACTCATGCATGCTAAATCTAACTGCTGGAATAAGTTATTTTATAACTAAATAGAATATTTGCACTGTTTAGTGGAGCTGCTTCCACATTCACTTCTGTTTCTTAGTACAGTATTGCATAATTCTTCTGCCTTATCCTGAGATCACATTCCCATCTAAGAAACAAAGTAGCTAATGGTCAAAAGTATTGCTAGTTGCACCCTATCCTTTGTTCAGAAGCAAAAAATTGCTAAGTAATTACTATGCAGTTGCTAATCACTATAGGGTTAAAAACAGCAATTTTAAAATTGATTTTAGAGTGGATGAAAACAAAATTTTGATTTAATTTAATTTCAGACTTGAGTAAATGGAAGAGCTTGGTAGATGTAGTGAATTATCGTTTTAGTGTGATAGAGAGAATAACACCTTCTAAAACCATCTGGATCCTAAACACCCAAAAGTGTTTTTAATGGAGGGGGGATAGATTCACATTTAACAGAATATAAATATAGGTTTTACATGCTTCTATTCATATTAATTTTAAGCTTTGTTGCTGCTGTTTTTAAAAAGATAAACTTGGTTTTAAAATTTCTTAAAAGCTCATCTTAAATTTTTAAGTGGTTTTTAAGCTCAAAAAAACAAAATTTTCTCAGGCTTTATTACTGAGACTTTTTGCAGATATTGTCTTTTTTGAGGAGTTAATAATTCTGAATTTTCTGTTGTATAATAGCAGCTGTGAAGAGGGAGGTCCTCAAGTTTGGACAACAGCCATAGCCTTTCTAAAACCAGTTTAGACACAATAGATTGAACATACCTTTGTACTGTCAGAAATGACAGCTAACTTTTCCTTATTACATGCTCTTTTCCCCAGGTTGTCTCTACAGTAATTGCTGCCCTCCACATCTCTGTGGTGTTTGAATTGACAGACCTATGCCTTTGCCATTTAACTGCCATTTTATAGAATAAAATAAAATTTCATATAACAAGTTCGCACATAATGTTGAAATACAGAGCAGATGTCTCTGTTTTCACTAGCACAGCTTTTTAAAAGACTCTCCCAAGATTTGATACCATTGTTTCTAAATCAAATAGTTTACTCAAACTCCTGACTGTGATTAAGAATTTGAAGTAAAAGTAATAAAGGTGATGGCTTGTTGACAAATTAAAGTGTAAAGATGATTTTCAAGATACGTTTTTAGCAATTAGGCTTTGAATAAAATGTCTTCTTTTTAAACTGTTACATCTGATTTAGAACAGATTTGTGTTGCATATACATTTGCTTAAAATATTGGCTATTTACATTCTTTTGGCAGTAATCTTGGTATATATATGCACACACTTGCATTTTCTAATTTTCTTTTACAGGCAAACAACATGGGTGTAGGCGTAATTGGGATTATTGAATGCAATTTCCTAAAACCAACCCATAACAAACAGGATTTTGATTATACAAATGAATACAGGTAAATGCTTATTTCTTCAACATACAGGTTAGTCTTTAGGCAAAACAACAACAACAACCCAGGTTTTATTGAATCCATAAGAGTAGTTTTAAAAAATGCTGCAAACGTTTTCTCTGGAAGTTAGGTATGCATTCTGGGTTCAGAAAAAAGAGCAAAATGGACCACATTGGGTAATTTATGCAGTTCCATGGCATCTGTAGGACAGAGCAGTGAGCCATACTTCTAACCCAGAATAGATCGTTTATATCTCGTTCAGCATTTTTAGAATGAAAAGGATAGCATCTTGAGGAATGAGGAAGTCAAAAGTAGTACTGTAGACCAAGCTGTTGGTGCAAGTGACCTAAGAACAATAGCCATTTGCGTTTTTACTGGTGATCCCGAAATGCACAGATAACGTCGTGGACTCGGGAACAAAGCAGACTGAGTCTCCTAAACCGTGCATGGCCCCAGCCTAGGCGCCCTTTATTTGTGTAGAGAATGGGGGAGGGGGATTCCACTCCCCTGATAAAAATGCTGCACTGTGTGCTGTATATAATGTCTGGCCTGGTGTATGTCTAAGAGCCTTGTAACAAATCCACCCCATCCTGAAGGAGGCTTCACAGCCCTGCATTTGCCAACTTGGCTGCAGTATATTCTTGATTTTATTTACAGAAACATGTTTTTTTCTTTTATTGCAGTAACCTTTTAGAGACATATTTTAATAGTAAACATTTATCACTTGTGTATCAATTTTTGCTTCAATTTGTACTATTATGAAAAAGACTTGCCCAACATTTAAACCATAGTACAGACCACCTCAGGTGGCAGAGCACCGGAAATAAGAAGTTCACTTCTCCCTCCACGTCCGCATTCTGGGAGTTTCCCTGCTCCTCTGGAGAGCTGCCACTATTTTGCCTCTAAACATTCTTCAGAACCAAGCACTGTGTGGGCTGGAAAATCTCCAGTAATACAGCAGCTTTCTGTAACTCTGGTAGAGTAGGTGTACATTACGTTAGAGAGTGACCTGTCAATTCCTGCTTCCCAACAGTGAGAAAGCTTGGGCCACTTTGTCCACAGCCAAAATCCCATCATATGTTATGAGTCCCATCTTTTGGAAGGAAGAATTGGAAATCCATTTTAAAACGAATAGATTCTAAATCAGCACATTTTTATTTAAATGAGTAAAGTGCTCATTGGATTGAATCCAGACCTGTCCCTTGCGAATAGGACTCCTGTTTGTGGAGGAGACAGCAGAGATTCCCGCTGGATGAACAAGATAGAAGGCAACTTTCTTGTCTTCTCTCACATTGTTTCTGATAATCCTCCAATCCTTGAGAGCAAGTTTTCAGGACTGAAGGAAGAACAACAAAAGCTGCCTTTTCTCTGCAGAAATTAGGATGTCTGCTCACAGGAGGTCTGGGTCCAACCCATGGTTCTTTTCTGTTTGCATTTGCTGTCTGTGATGACTGATGTATGTGTCATATTAAAATACGGCTCACAAAATGGTATTTCTTGTTTGTTAGGCGTACAATACATGCACTTGGTGAGAAGCTTAATGATTATTGGAACGAGATGCAGGCAAAGAAAACAGAACATCCCTTGGAAGTACTAGTTGAAGATACCCAGTAAGTTCTTTTTAAAAAATCAAACACATCTATAAATCTGTCCTAAATAAACATACCTGCCCAGTTTTCATGTCAGTGATGCTTTGTTATAGGAAACGGCCTGATCAGACCTGGGTTCAATGTGATTCATGTCTAAAATGGAGGAAGCTGCCAGATGGAATTGAACGCTTGCCAGAGAAATGGTATTGCTCATATAACCCTGATCCTCAGTTCAGGTAAACTGGGTGGATATAAAAGAGGTTAGGTTTCTCAGATTGTACTTATGTTTACTGGAACAAAGTCAGTGACAATTTACCACTTCTTTTTAAACTCAGAAATTGCAACGTGCCTGAAGAACCTGAAGATGATGATTTAATACCATATGAGAAAACACATAAGAAAAAGTGAGTATGGAGACAGGAATCTGAAGTACTGGTGTCATATGTTCTGCCAAAAACATTTGGGAGGATTGTTATTAGAAATTTACATTAGTACATATTGTTTTGACCTCTGGGCTGGAATTTTGTGGGTGACCTATACAGTGGTGCCTCGCATAGCGGGGGCAGATGGGCCAAAAACTTACCGTTCAGCGATGCTTCCTATGGCCGGCAGCCATTTTCGCACCCTCGTTAAGCGAGGGGAGGGCGCGAAAACGCTGCGCGCGGCCATTTTGGCGCTTCCGGTGGCCGCCGAACAGCTGATCGTCGGGGCTTCGTTTTGCGAAGATTGGTAAGCGAAACGCTTGCTGATCTTTGCAAAGTGAGTTTTGCCCCATCTGAACGACGTTGAGCGATCGCATTAGCGATCCCAAAAAAGGGATCGCTATGCGATTTCGTCGTACGGTGCGCTCGTTAAGCGAGGCACCACTGTATAAGGTTTGTATAAGTTGCTTTCTTTAAATTGACAAGGTGCTGGGGTGCTCCTCAGTTGTGCAGTCAGGCAGGTGACCAGGCATGCAAGTGAGGCATGCCTTGGGCCATTCTCATTTAGCCATGGCAGGTTATACAAATCCTGGAAATATGGTGCCTTTTGGGCGTGCCAAATAATGTAAAGATTTTGTACTGTTTTTTTTTAACTCCAAAAATCTCAGAATAGTTCACTGGATCAAAATGTGCCTTGATGTGATAACAAAAAATTGACTTTAATAATTTTGGTTGAAGTTGTTCAAGCAACGTTGAGATTGCTTAAATATTTTCAGATATGGTTAATAAAAGTAAACAGTTGGTGGCACAGACTCACAGATGTTGTAAATGAATACAGTCAGCATAAATAAGAATGAGAAAGAAAAGCTAGATCTCTGAATGTTTCTTACAACTAAACATATTTGCTTCAGCGGTAACAATACATCACAGTGACCTTGTTTGTCTCAAGTTCTTGTGCCCTCTCTCCTTTTTTAGCTGCTGTCACAAACTTTCACTTCGATTTTCAGCCAATAAGTCTCTCATGTTGAAACCCAAACAAAGAGTGATTAGTGTTACGTATGGCTTATTGAAGGTCAAGACCATTAACCATGGTTAATGGTGAATGACACAGGTTGACCTGATTAAGGGAGCAGGATAGATTCATGTTAACCATAAAGGTTTAAGGGGGCAGGGCAGATGCATTTTTCTTCAGTCAGCAAATAAACCATAAATGCAAACCAGACGGGGAAATCCTTATTTTTATCCAGACTGCCGTTGTGATGACGCTATCAGTTGGTAGTGCAGAGTATTGTAATTGTAGCAGATATAATCAGCTATAGCAGCTAATAAACATATCAACAAGAAGTACAAAACAAAGCAAAAAAAGAAGACAACAACTACAAAGATATTGTAGCTAAAAATGAGCAAAAACTGCTGATTCATCATGGTTTGTTTCCCGGCCAGACAGCTGATCCATGGTCTGGTGCGCACACACCCTCCAGCAGGTGCCCACCCGAAGGCAGCGCCGGGAGGAGACAGGGCAGGATGCTGCCACCAAGTGGCTGCCTACTGGAGGGGAGGGAGCAGGGTGCGAAACTGCAGATCAGCTTTGAAACAAATAGTGCCAGACCAGCAGTTCATGCTCAGTTCTAGTTGTGGCAACTTAAATACTAACTGCTATATTTTTATGTGAGCTATTGCGGAATAAATCCACTTCTTCATACATGAGTGAGAATACAGAGATTATGTGGTCAAGTTCATTCAGGGCTCTGAGGTAAAGTGACTGTGGTGGTCGGTAGACTCGATTGCATTTCACAGCTAGTAAAATCCCTGTTTCGTATTCTCATTTTCTTTTGAAGCTTTATTCTATAAACAGTAATATTGATTAATGGATAAAGGAAGCGACAGCTAATAAACCATTTTCTTTGCTTACAGCAACTTGTGGAGGCTTAAAGATGAACCATCTTCATTTAGTTATAGGCAAATATTTGTGAGAAACATAAAACCCAGCAGGGAGGAAAGTTCTTCACTCCTGGTCAGTGAGTTCTGACAATAGTTACAAGCAAAACATATTTATACCCTCCAAAGCATACGTTTGTTCTGCGTAGGTCATCCTATGGTCAGTTTTACCAGCACAGCTATGATAGGTGAATTATTATAAATCAGCATTCGTAGCATCTCTACATTACTAAATAATAGTTGGATATAGTCAGTACCTGGTACATATCTGTCTTCCCATCTCCTTCCCAGCATTCCTTTCTTACTAAACCATATGGAGACTGATGGTCATTTAATAGGAGGAAGCTCTGAAGGCACACAGTATGGAAGAACTTTGATTACACATAACATATATTAAAAAGAAAATGCACATATACGTGCAATAAAAGAAGTTTAAATGCATATAACATGTTTCCACAAAAATGTTTCCACAAAAATGAAGCGATGTTAAATGTTTTATATATATAAAATGAGTATACTCCATAATGCCTTTCTTTCTCAAAACAGGGATAGGGAAAAATTAAAGAAAAGACTGGAGCTAAGCCAACAGGTCAGTGACTGATCCTCTTGAAGTGTTAGAGATTGTGAGGAGAAGGTTGCAGTAGAGAGATGGGAAAGAAAAAAGGTGTTGAGGGAAGACGTTGAAGAGGAGGGCATGGGTGGAGGAGGAAGATAAACCAGACTGCACAGCTTTTGGTTTTACCACTGGAAAAGAAAGGTGAGGTTTCATGTAATAAGGACCACAGTTTGCAAGACAGAGGAACCTCTTGAAGTGTTAGAGATTGTGAGGAGAAGGTTGCAGTAGAGAGATGGGAAAGAAAAAAGGTGTTGAGGGAAGACGTTGAAGAGGAGGGCATGGGTGGAGGAGGAAGATAAACCAGACTGCACAGCTTTTGGTTTTACCACTGGAAAAGAAAGGTGAGGTTTCATGTAATAAGGACCACAGTTTGCAAGACAGAGGAAAGGAACAGAGAGGTGAGGTTTCATGTAAGGACCACAGTTTGCAAGACAGAGGAACAGGCAATAGTAGAATGTAGGAGGCAGCAAAGAGGTGCTGAGGATTTTTAGCGTAGTTGCAGATCAGATTGATAAAATGGTGCTGTTTATCCTAGATAATGGCATAAAAATAGAAGAGGATTAATTAAATAGCACAACTAACAGAGTGTGCAAAACAATACATGAAAGAGTTAGTTCTAAAGCAAAGGGGAAAGGAAAAGGATAGAGGGAAGAGATGAGAAACATATTGAGAGGAGAGCAAGTGGGGACTCGTATAGCATAGCTGCACATAAGCTCTACAGTAATTATCTGTCCACTTGTTACTAATATGCTTAGACAGAGGAATTTAAGCTCTGCCCTGTCCACTGCTGCGCTCTCCATGTGAAGAGCAGGTCTGAAAAGGAGAAACCCCTTCTACGTGTGAACAGATGCTTTTTCAGGTCTGAAAAGGAGAAGCCCCTTCTACGTGTGAACAGATGCTTTTTTCTTTTCCTGATGTGTCAGTATGAATGCAGAGAAAGTGACAACAGAGGCGAAGGGCTAGTCTCTCATGTATAAAAGTGTTGATAACAGCTGGGTAGGTCCCTACGATAGCAGTTTGAAATATTTTAACAGGAGAAGGTAATGGAGAAGTGAGCTATGGGGTTAGAACTATGAGATCTCTTGTATGCTCTGGTGATCCTCCATTCAAGTACAAACTGGGCTCAACTTCACTTAGTTTCTAAAAATCAGTGGAATCTGAATATGTGTAGGATGGTACTGAAATATTTGTGCTGTTTCCTGTGAATAAAAAAACATTTAAAACTAGCATTATAATAAAGTGAAATGTTCATGTTTTTATCAGAAGTACTTGTATCTAAAATCCACATGAAATTATTATTCTAAAGATAAAGGACGGTAGGATATTGAGCTTGTTGAAAGGCTAGGTACATGGCTTGTTTATATACATATTAGATGACTGTTCTTATATTTTGGTTCAAACCTGATTTATATAGCAGTCAAAATCAGGGCGGAGTGCTAAAGCAGCAAGATGGATCTAAGCTGTCTAAAATTCCACCTAGTCTCTTACTGCTGTCTGAGGTAACTGCAGAGTTCAAAGCAACAGGTGTGGACGTGAGTTTTTTCTTCTCTAACAATAGTGAAACTGTCTTTTCTGCAGATTTATAATGAAATGTATTTACAAACAACATTGGCATTGTCCAACACACCTCCAATAGTGAATGAAAGTGCTTCAAGAATACATGTAGACGTTTCAAATTCTTCTCTTACAAGGTCTCTAAACCCATCAGATAACATGTCTTCAGTATCTTCTCCCCATTCTGACCCAGAAAACAGGTTGGTTAAAAAAAACAGCAAGAACATTTCATTTTGAATTCCTTGTACTATTTTTAAGTAAAGTTTCCTCATATCTTTTTGTACAAAAATATTCCTCGGCCTTCTAAAGAAAAACATCTTATTTGTGTCTCTTGTCATTTCTGTAGGTTTAAACGAAAACTTTCCAATCCTGAGACACCACTGCCATTTAAGATCAGTTGTGTGACTAGTGAAGCCTTTAAGAATAAAAAGGCTGATGATGATGATGTCATCATCTTGGAAGACAGCAGTACTCCCAAACCTGCAGCAATAGAGTGTGACATCAAAATAGTAAAAGTTGAAGGTGGTGCTGATCTGGATTACAGTGGTATGGAAACAGAAAATTCCGAGAACAATAAAGATGCCTGCTCGGAAACAAATTGTTTAAGAGGAACTGCAGCAACACAAACTGAAACAGAGCACCTTTTAGTAAAGAAGGAAAAAATGGATGACAGTACTGATAGCAGGCTATCCAGACTAGAACCTGAAGTCTCCCTACTAGAACCTGTTCAAGTTTCAGAATCTGCTTTTGGAGACGTAGACAACAAGATAAATGAACTCAGTATTCAGTTGCAGTTAGCCAATAGCGAGAAAGAAAAATACCAAAGACAGTGTGATGAACTAATCAAACAGGTAAAGCTATTTGAGCAAAAAATAATAGAACTGAATGATAGGCATATGAAAAAGGAAATGTGTGATCAGTCAACAGAAACAAATAATGTATTATCATTTGAAGAACTAGAAAAAGTTAAAGAAAGAAGTCCAGAAGAGGTAGTCATTCTCTATGAGCAAGCGTTGAATGAAGTAAGGAGTTTGAAAGAACAGCGTGATACTTTGCAGAATTCGAAAACTGCATGCAGTAAATGTAAAAACAACGGGAATAAAAGTGATGTAGACGACATGGCTGTGCAACTTGATGTTTTCAGACAGCTGGACAGGTGCAGTGTAGAAAGAGACCAGTATAAAAATGAGGTAAGTTGCATAATTTATTCTGTAAAAAAGTTGGGTGTGATGGATCTTTACTTTGCCAGTCACGGTAGCAATATTACATTCATAGGCTGTGATTGTATAAACCTGTATTGATGGATAAATCACATGTATTGGCATAGGACTTTTCAGGCCAGATTTATTTAAATACTTTAGTCTGATACCTCACTCTGAATACTTGTTTGCAATCTATTCATTTGAAAATATTCATTATATTACGATACACTACATTACTGAGTGGCTGAAATCCTGTTGCTTTAACTTAAAAACATGTCTAATAATGTCATCTGCCATCAAAAGCTAAAACTTTCCAATCCCCTCTTAAGGCTCCCTTTTGTCATGAGGAAACTATTGAACACCACTGGACGGGGTGGGTTGTGGAGTCTTTGATTTCCAAAATTCCTTGCTGTTGGATAATTTGTTTGGTTTTGAGATTTTTTTAACATTGAAGACACCTCTGTACCATGGCTCTCCCATGACAAAAAGGGATGCCAGGAATTTCCAAAGGGAGGATTGCAAAGTTTTAATTTATGAAAAACTGTCATGGATGATAATATAAGACTGACATGAAATAAGTTACACTACTGGGTTTCATCTATATATTTCACTGTGTTGTGTTTCCTTATGGTATATTGGCTGAAATCCAGTAGTAATTCACATTGCAAAAGGAAATGCAGTAGGACTGCATTAAGGAGAAAACATCTTGATTTCTTGGACTGCAAATACCATAGTTCTCTATTCTGGGAATATGCCTGACAATAGAGACAGTTAACAGACACTTAAACATTGCTCACCTGGAAGAAAGACCTCAATTGGAAGGCATTGAAACTGAGCTAATCTTAGTTCTGCCTAGCTTCCTTTTCAGGAAAAAAAGCTCCCAATTAGCAATGGGGTAGGAGTAGAAAACTTGGGTGGAGCCAGGCCTAGCTTCCAGTTGAGGCCTTTCTCCCAGTTAGTCACATATAGGTGTTAGAATTCCCAGAATGGAGAATTAAGACATTTGTAGCCAAAGAAATTCAAAACTACCAACTTTAGATAGTACGGCTTTCAGGAGTGTAATTTTCCTTTAAACCTAGATCTGAGCCTTGTTTTGATTTAAAGAAATCTTTTGAGAAAAAAAATCTCTTTAGAATTATCCATTTTGTGAGAAAAATACTTAGAAATATACATTTATTGCAGTGTTTGTAACACACAGCAGTTTTATATGTAACGAGTAACAATTTTGAAGTTTTCTAAAATTCCTTTGAAAGTTTTGATTTATCTCTTCCAGATTGAACTGCTTGAAATGGAAAAAAATCAGTTGCAGTTTCAATGTGAAGAGCTAAAAGGAGAAATCGCTCAATTAAAAGCTCCAGTCCCACAGATGGTTGCACATGCAAATGATCCTGTGGCTAGTAATCTTGAAGATAATGTAAATTATTCTAATGGGGAAAGGTACATGATCCTTACTATTTGACCATACAAGTGCATGGAAAACTAACATCTATCAGACACTCCTCTCTGCCCTATCATGATTATTAATTACCTAAAGATTTCCATACCCCTTGCCTTCAGAGAACCTTTCTGTGCAATTGTGTATAAAAAGAAATGCCAACGCATTTCAGGGGAATTCTGGGACATGTTTTAAACATACGTTCAGTTCAAGCCGGGTACTTCACAAGTTTGTTGGGCTTTAGTGTGTCCCCATGAGAATAGAGGGTGCAACCTGAAGCGCATCTACACCCTAGATGGGCCTAGGAATAAGCTGTGCTGGACCAAACTAATCTTTTTATCCACCAAACAAGGGAGGTTATGTTTGTCAATGCCTGGAAACAGTACTTTGGGAAGACAACGGATCTCAGACTCTTTACTTGCCATGCTGACAGGGATTCCAAGGGTTCCATTCCAAAAGAGTAACTTCTTCAAGCTCTGATTTTAATTCATAAGTAACTCAGTCTACAGTTAATGAAACTTCATTTCTGGTTCTGCATCCTAGCAAAATGGATATTTTAAAACTATTTTGATTTGTTCAATGAAACAGAATAACTAATGATGTTTTGTGGTGGTTGTTGTGGGTTTTCCAGGCTTTTTGGCCATGTTCAGAAGGTTGTTCTTCCTGACATTTCACCAGTCTGTGGCCGGCATCTTCAGAGGACTGGAGTAGGAACTACTGTATTTTTCGCACCATAAGACACACTTTCCCCCCACAAAACAGAGGGGTGGAAAGTGTGCGTCTTATGGAGTGAAGAAAACAGATTATATTTTCCTGTTTTCTTCTCCTAAAAAAATTGGTGCGTCTTACGGAAAGGTGCGTCTTATGGAGTGAAAAATACGGTATGTAGGAGAGTTCTGACTCCAGTCCTCTGAAGATCCCGGCCACAGACTGGTGAAACGTCAGGAAGAACAACCTTCAGAACACACGCCCAAAAAGCCCAAAAAACCCACAACAACCATTAGATCCCGGCCATGAAAGCCTTCGCGAATACATTGATGTTTTGTGGTGTTTTATAATCGATGGTAGAATACAGTAACAAAAAGAGGAAGGAGAAGGAAAGGATTGAATGGCATGTTCACACAGTATGTAGCTGAACTCTGGAATTCCCTGCTGCAAAATATGGTCATCACTGCCAAGTTGGATGACTGAAAGGGTTAAATTAATGGGGGTTAGGGCTATGTAGTGCTACTAGTCAGGATGGCTGTGTTCTTTAATACAGTGGTGCCTCGCTTAGCGATGTTAATCGGTGCAGCAAAAATCGCTGCTAAGCGATTTCACCGCTAAGCGATTTTAAAAAGCCCATAGAAATGCATTAAAACACGTTTAATGCGTTCCTATGGGCTTAAAAACTAACCTTATACGAAAATCTTCCATGGTAGCGGCCATTTTCAGTGCCTCTAAAGCGAGGCAAAACAGTGGGCGGCCATTTTGTTTACCTGGTGGCCATTTTGGAACCGCTGATCAGCTGGCTGAAAATGGGGGCTTTGCAATGATTGCTTCCCTGCAATCATCGCAAAACGAAATTTCCCCATAGGGGCCATCGCAAAGCGATCGCTGTTGCAATGGCAAAAAGTCCATCGCAAAGCGATTTCATTGCTATACAGAGCGATCGCTATGTGAGGCACCACTGTACAGCAGTTGTTGGCATTCAGAGCTTGCCAGCAAGCCTCCTTTAGACAATAGTTTGTCCACCGTGTGTACAGAACATTGGTCTTGGATAGTTGTTTGGTCTGATCCAGCATGGCTCTTCCTTTGGGGAAGGGTGGGGATGTAATTTAAAGAACTGAATTTCTATGCATCATACAGAGTATTGTAACTAATGTGCTCAACATCATCTTTCTGTAGCCTGAAGCTGCGATCCCTGCGAGTTAATGTGGGACTTCTGCTGGCAACAATAATGCCTGATCTTGATTTGCAACAAATGAATTACGACGTTGATGTAGTTGATGAAATTCTAGGACAAGTTGTAGAGCATATGAATGAAATCAGCAGTTCCTAATTTCCTACTCCTCTGCAATTTTAACATAGACATTATTCAATCTTATATTTTATTGTAAAATTTCCAACTTGTACAGATGGTTCATTTTAGCGCCAAATACAGTGTGATACTGAATGCCTGTGTTGTGATTAGTTCTTTTTTAAAATTCTGAATACCTGTTGGAAGAAGCTGATGTTTTGATTAGGACTGCAACATTCAGGCAAGGGAATTTACCCTTTCCTCCCCTTCTGCACAGCAGGTACTAGCTCTGGAAAGGCAAAGTCCCAGAGCCCTCAAAGGGAAAAAAATTATAGGTGCCTATGAGACCTTGCCTTCTGGAACTAAGGACTGCTGTGATGTTGAGTTTATGGGAAGGATAAGGTTAAACCCTGGATGCCGCCACCTCCATGAAGTAAACGGAGGCACAGCTATCTGATTTAATCCTCATTTAAAGTATAATGTTTATGCATCAGTGTCATACTTTGCCTCCACTCTGGAATTATAACATTTTTGACAGACACTTGAAGTTTTTTGTAGTGCATTCAAAAGTTAAACACAGATCCTGTAAATGCTGTGGTATATCTTTTTAATTTCCTTTTTTTAAAAGGGAACACTGGCAATATTGACAAATAACATTTTCCCCAATTTACTAGTACAGTATTTTATAGTGGCCTATGATTATTTCTAAGCTTTGTTACCTGGTCATGTATTATAAAATAGATTGAAAGTATTGTAAAACAACAGTTACAATATCAGGTTATGTTCTGTTTCATTAAAGATATGGGTGTTTTATCAAAATCATGTGGTTTAAGGAGTTCATTTCCATTTTTTTAGTTGTGTTTTTTTAAATGTTTTTCCTTACTCTCACCATCTTCAGTACCGGAATGTACTGTAAAGCCTGGGTAAAATACTGTCTCTCTGGATAATATTATTTAAATTTATACTGTACATTTCCCCTTTGAAAACAAGTGAATAAATGGAAATAAGTTTTTTATTTACATGAAATAAATCGGAAGATGTATATTTTGTACTAAATGTGGGGCGGGGGGACACCTGCTGTTCTGAGTGACAGGAAAAAAATAAGCAAATGCAGTTTTCCTAATAACAATAATAAAAAAATTGAAATGCTTGCTTTTCTTTCTGCTTGTCTTCTTCTAACTGCAAATACTTTGCTTTCATATCAAATAACTCTGTGCTCAGGAAATTCTGTATTTTTCAACAGTTTTTCTCTGTTGACAGAATATTTGGGGTAAATTCAAGCATCAGTTTTTGGTGAGGATTTGCTTTTTCCCCCTGAAAAGGTTCAGCAGCCCTGCCACATAAGCAGAAACCATTGAGTGTACCCAGATTATAGCTTGCTGAGTTGCTAACAACTACCCAGCCACAAGGACCAGGGATCATTGCACAAAAAAGACCAGCTAACGACACCCATCAATCACAGTAATAGATAATCTCTTCCCCCCTTATCACAACAAAAAACAGGCTGATCACCCTGTCTCCTGAAAAGAGACAAAAGCTGTTCTCACAGCTATGAATACTCAACTATCCAACAAACAGCAACAAAGCATGGACAGAGTTCCTACTCCAGTCCTCTGAAGATGCCGGCCACAGAGACTGGCGAAACGTCAGGAAGAACAACCTTTAGAACCCGAAAAACCCACAACAACCAATAGGTTCTTTGTTGGGATTTCAGGGTTGTAGTGTAATTGAAAATGGAAATCTAGACATTTAGGCCACTGACCTGATACCTCATATAATCTGTCTTAAACTACTGTATATTATCTGGAACTATATACAGTATAAATGATTACATTTGGCATAATCTTCAAACAACTATCACATTTCTTTTCCCAAACAAAAATGAACAAAGAAGATTGCTGATCACTGGGTTGTTTTGACATCATCATGAAGCTGAACAGGATTCAGTTCTTTGCACTGTAGCTTCTCTTTTATATACAATAAGTCATAAAATATATCTTGCACTTCCTCTACAGAGCTGAAGGCAATATGCATGGTATTGATCTCATTGCAACAAGCTTGTGACATATGCTAGGCTCAGAAATAGCGACTGGCTCAACATCAACCAATTGGCTGCAGGACTAAGTGGAGAGCTGAATATCCATCCTAGTCTGACCTCTAAGCATGATATTTTGCTGTTTAGTGACTTGCTGAGGGCTCTGTATCTCAATTGGGGCTGCATTTTCTTGTGCAGCTTGAAAAGTTAACTAATTTTATAATCCATGCTTCTTGGCAGACACAGCTAGACTAGCGATCACTTTAAAATGACCCATACAACCTTTTCTGCCATTCCCTCTCTTTTGAATATTAATGAACTCCTTGAGGAAGGGTTCTGTTGTTCCGTTAATTATTTGGTAAAAGGGTGCACTGATTAAATAAAATGCTTCCAAACAAAATTCAACAAAAGTGATGCTAAGTGTATTCATTTGTAAAAAAAAATCACTGACTTCAATAGTGTTGTGTTTTCCAATGTGCTGTGCGTAATTTCCATGCTTTCACAAATCCCTGGTGGGAAGAAATCCATAAATACAGAACTCTATAAAATGTCCTCCTTGCCTATGCTGGCCAAATCTGGAATAATTAAGATATATGTATTTAGAGTGTTCCCCTTGTAAGACCATGTAATATTGGTGGGCCAAACATGAATGTTCGGTTTATAAAATGATCTCTCACACACACACCTGTGAGCATTCCGTCCTTCATTTACTCAGTGCAAAAATTTAGTCGTGCTTGGTGCCCACAAGAATTTGTAGGACAGTACTAAATGGTTACTAGAGAAAGGCCTATTCTACCTAATTTGCTATTCAACGATCTCCCTTGCAAGTCTCTTGCTAGACAATTTTGCAACACCAGCAACTTTTGACTGAGATTGTTAAAGCCTCTAACCCAGAGGTGCCCAACCCCCGATCCGCAGCTCGGTGCCGGTCCACAGCCTGAGCCAGACTGGGCCGTGGAGACAGACCTCCCGCTCCCCTGGCATGCACTTACCCCCGCACAGCCCATTTGCGGCTGCGCGCACTCTCCAGCACGCCTGTGCAAGCACCGTGCCGCTGTTTGCGCATGCAAAGTGTTATGTGCCATCAAGTTACTTTCAGTTTACAGCAACGAAGAGAATTAGCGGACAGTGTTGAAAGCAACAGAAAAAGAGGAAGACCAAATGAGAGGTAGATTGAGTCCATAACCCATCCGGAGTGTTCTGTATCACTTGCAGAAAGCACTGCTACCTAGTGTGTATAACAAAACAACAACAAAAGTACTGTGGTACAGTATCTTAAGACAAACACGTGCCATAGTTTAGTGAGGTGGAGCACTCGGGGCCTGGTGTTGCAAAATGGTCTAGCAAGAGACTTGCAAGGGAGATCGTGGCCCATTGTGTCTCCCAGGCCACCCAAGATCTCCCAGAGCAGCGATGGCTGATGGGGTTATGGGCACTATCACCTGTGCAGACTTGGACAAGCTGCATGGAGGACCACCAGAAGGAAAGAATGGCTACTTCTGAGTAACCCCATACCTAGAAAACCCTGGGAGTGTCACCAAAACTGGAATCAATTTGTAGGCGTGTTGTCCATAAAAGACAAATAGGTTTCAGTGTGAGCTTTTGTGAAATTAGTCTTTAAGGTGGCACACCGCTTTTCATTATTTTACTTTTGCAATACATTGCTGAAGTAGATGGCCACAAACTGAAAACTCTTCCATACAAACTTCCTAGGTTCCCTAAGGGAACTGTGACAGAACAATATCAGAAAGGCTAGCACTGATTAAACATGTATTTGTTTGTGTATGTCTGTGTATGGACACATAAATATGTGCTACATTGTTATGTGCCATCAATTCACCTCTGAATTGTGGTTCTTCGTTGTGGCCTCTAAACGGCAAACTTTTGTAAATGGGGAAATAATTCAATCACTACTGGAAAAAACTAATAAAGATTCTAATAGGGGTAATTACTGTGAGGAAAAGATTAATTTGAAGAAAAATTAGCTCTACTTTCCTTTCTCTGTTGCTTTAGTGTTCTTAGTGTCCTGTCCTTGCGGCGGAAAAAAAGGAACTGAGGAGAAGGTTGAGGAGGTGGAGCTGGTGACCTGGGGGGTATTTCATTGTCAACTTTTTTTAAGCTCTAGAAACTTCCGAGACGTCCTGCGCAGGCGCAGAAGAAACCCATTCTGTGTGAATTCACAGAGGTCCACCAGAAAAACCATGGTTACAGATAGGTAACCTCTCTTTATCCTATGAATTAGTGTCTCCACAACAGCCCTATTCAGTTCTTGCTAATGAAAGGTTGTAGATCCATTAGGGAGTCAATTCATTTCATATTTCGCCTTACTCTTTTCTCATGATATGCCTAAAGTAAGACAGCTTCAACTTCAGCATTTTGCCTCCAGAGATAGTTCTAGCTTAATTTCATCTAGAAACCACTTGTTCATCTTTCTGATGGTCCAGAAAGAAAAGCTCTCCTCCAGCATCATATTTCAAACAAATCAATTTTCTTCTCAGATTTCTTTAGCATTCACACCCATGCATGGTGATTGGAAATACACAATTGTGAATGATCTTAGTCTAATCTCCAGTGACACATACTTACACTTGATTATCTTTTCTAATTCCTTCCTTGCTGCCCTTCCAAGTCTTAGTAGATGGCCACAAGTCTTAGTCTTCTTCTGATTTCTTGACTGCACTTTTCCATTTGGATCGATGACTGAACCAAGGTATATAAAATCCGTTAGATTTCCTGAAATATTTAGAATGGAATCCTTCATAAATAGAAGATTTTGGTACTACAATTATACCTTGCTTTTGGAGGAGTGAGGATATTTCTTCTTGTAAGGTTGGTGAGAAATTAGTTGTTTAGTTCTTCTGAAGTCATGACTTGTCTTCTTGATGTTCTGCTGCAGTCCTGCTTTGGCACTTTCTTCTTTCATTAAGTCAATTCATTAATGCTTTCTGGCAGGAAGATGGTGTCATCTGCCTATCTTAAATTATTGATGTTTCTTCCATCAATTTTTACTCCTTCATTTGAATCTCATCCAGATTTCTGTATATGTTCTGCATACAGATTGAAAATCTCATCCAGATTTCTGTATGATATGTTCTGCATACAGATTGAACAGATAAAAGGATAAAATGCACCTTTATCTGACACTTTTATCGATCCTAACAGCAGCTTCTTTTCCACAATACAGGTTATGTATCAGGACAATCAAGTGCTGAGGCACATCCATTTCTTCCAGAACAACCCACAGTTTCTCATGATCCACACAGTCAAAGGTTTTGCTGTAGTCTATAAAGCGGGGATTGATCTTCTAAAGATTCTTCTGAACATTTTTCTGGGGTGTGCTTCAGTAGCCAGCAGATATTTGCAATATTATCTCAAATGCCTCTTTGTTTTTGAAATCCAGCTTGAACATCAGTCACATCTCATTCCGTATAAGGTAAAAGCTTTTGTAGCAACACCTTGAGCATCACTTTGCTTGCATGGGAAATTATAGCAATGGCCTTATAGTTACCATACTCTTTGGCATCTCCTTTCTTGGGAATTGGCATGTATATTGAACGTTTCCAGTCTGGAAAATAGTTTTGTTTTCCATGTTTGTTGGCATATTTTTGTTAGGATTTTGATTAATCTCCCTCTGTATCTTGAAAAAAGTCTATTGCTATTCCATTTACCCCTTGTTATTTATTTCTTCCTAGTGCTTTCAGAGTAGCTTTCACTTCACTCTCTAGAACTGTAGGTTTTTCATCATAGAATTCTTCTTCAAATGAGTCTTTCATCCTTTTATCTCTTCTGTTTAGGTCTTCAGTATACTGTTTCCATTGTCTCTTTATTTTCTCCAGGTCAGATAGTGTGCTTCCCTGATGTTCATTCAACATTCCTAATCTGAACTGAAATTTCCCTTTGATTTTTGTATCCTCTGGAAGATATGTCTTGTTTTTCTCCTTCTCTCTCTCTCTCTCTTTGCACTGGTAATTGCAATAGTTCTCTTTATCTCTATGTGACAGTCACTGAAAGGCTGCATTCAGGATTTTGACCCTATTTCTATCAACCTTTAATTTAGCTTCTCATTTATCCTTCACAATTTTAAGTGTTTCTTCCATTATCCATCTAGGTTTTTCTTTCCTTTCTACTACAGGAATTGTCTGTTCAAATTCTTCCCTAATAATACATCTGGTTTCAGTCCAAAGTTCTTCTTGTTCACAATCAGTTGAGTCAAGTAGTGTAAATCTGGTCCTTATGTGAACCTAAATTTATCAGGAATGTTGTTTGAATTATATTTTGACATTAGAATTCTTTAGGTCTTCTCTTTTTCAGCTTTAATGTTGGATATTAACAGTTTGTGATAAATGCAACAATCTGTTTCTGCTCTTATCTTAGTTGAGAGAATACAGCTTCTCTGTCTCCTGCTTCCATTTATGTAGTCTATTTGGTTTTTATATCAACCTTCTGATAATTTCCACATGTATAGCCTTCTGGTTGGGTTTTTGAAACGTGTTTGCAATGAATAGAACATTGGCTTTGTAGAATTCTACGAGTCATTCTCCTGCATTTCTGTCCTATAGTCAAATTTTCCAGCAACATTTGGTTCTGCTTTGTTCCTTACTTTTGCATTCCAATCATCTATAATTCGCACTTATTTTGCGGTGTGATCGGATGCTGTGTGAATGCATGAATACTTGGAACATAGACTTGAATGATAGTTATCTTGATATTATTCAGTCAGATCTTGCATTACAGCCCCTAACTGCCTGTGTATTACTACATCTTGCCTCAGCGTTACAGCCACTCAGTTTCTTCTGATTTTGTCATTTCCGGGCTATAACACTTTGTAGCTGTTTGACTAAAAATATCCCATTCCAATCCACTTTTGTTCACTGACATCAAGGACTGCAATGTTTATACCTTACCCTTCTTGCTTTCCATTTTACCTTGTCACATTCCAATTGTATGTGTTGTACAACTTCAGACTTTTCTTTCACCTGTGTTCCTCAGCCATTGGACATCCCTTCAATTTTAATATAGTGTCATTAGTGACAGAGCTATTCGTACTTGTCCTTTGCTCTTCCCCAGTGGCTGGTTGAGTGCTGACCTAGGAGTCTCATCTTGCGGCACTATCTCTTGTTTCATTTGGGACTACAGTATCTCATTGTAAGGGTTTCATGGTAAGGAAAGTACAGCAGGGGTTTACCATCACCATCTACTGTGGCGGTACTAAAAAAAGTTAGCTTGAGTATCACAGTTGTTGCGTCCTCCACTAGTGTCATTTTCAGCTACCTCAGCTGCCCAGTTAGCTGCCTTGAAGATGGGTGGATGCCTCTTAGTCTGGTGCCTCAGCTGTGACCCTTCCTGTTTGGGTGACCGGCTAGGAAGGAGTCCAGGCTCCTAAAGGAGTTTGGCCTCCTGACAGCATTGCCGTCCGCTCCTCTGGCAACACAAACCTCTTCGTCACGTTAAACTGTGCATCTAGGAAAGGGCGTGCCACATAAACCCATCTGCAGTATTTCGGTGCCCATATAGCTGCACGTGTGCATGGTTTTTCATGTCGGGTTTTTAACTGCTCTTGTCCATCTCTCGGAGGATACGCGGTTTCTTTAGCTTTGTTACAAACCCTCCTGAAAGTCGCTGCAAAGGAGCGGAGGAAGTCGGCCGACGCGGCGAGTAAAGCACGGGGGAAGAGCTCGGCCCAGTGGGCGGCACCTTTTCTACCTCAGAGTCCGAGAAAGCGGGCCGGGGCCAGGCTCCTCCTTCGGGGACGCTTCTTGTGCCTCTTGTGCGCAGCCGCGAGCGCGGGAACCGGCGACTGGGTTTGCGCTCTTGCGGAATTTCGGTCTCGCTGT